CTAGGAACTGGGTGTGACAATCTCTCCCTCTCTAGGAAAAGGAGGAAAATGATATTTTCCTATCAGTTTTCTAGTTTTCTATTACAGTTCACTTAAGTTCAACTTTTTTTTAGTGTTATAATTATGTTGTTTAATATTCTCTTGGTCCTCTTTTCTTCAATCTGTATCACTTCAGGTCTTACCATGTTTCTTTGAATTTCTCCTACCACACATTTATATGCCACTATTTTTAGCCATCCCCCAAATGATTAGTCTCATTTTAGTTCCAACATTTTTGTTATCACAAAGAGTACAGCTATGAATATTTTGGTTTTTTATTTTTATTTTATTTATTTTTAAAATTAATTTATTTTGACTTATCCCTTCCATTAAAAAAAAAAAGCTTTCTTTAGAACAAATAAGAATAGTCAATCAAAAATAACTCAACCCACTGGTCAGGCTAGAAAAATATGTCTCAGCACCTCTGGTAAGTATATCACCTTTGTGCCTTTCATCTCAAAGTCTCTCCCACAATTGCCTTCATTTTCCTCTTTTGTTATCTTTACCAGTTTCAAAAGTGTGAAATGAAACCAGGACTTTGTTTTTAGGAATATTGAGTTCTGTGTTCAATTTCTTACAGGGATGAGCCTAATCTTCCTAGATCAATCAATCTGTGAATATTTGTCTTAACAATACTGTCCTTGAACAAGTTGATACTACACTTTATAAAGAACTTTCCTTAACTTACTTAGTCATTTACTTGAACTAAATTTTCTTTCTCATTCTATTCCTTTTCCCAGAACTTATGAGGTTTTTGAGTTTTTTGAAAAAGATCTTTATTGATAACTTGTTTTTGCATATTTTATGAAGTTTTTATTAATTTCTACTGGCAATATTGATAATTTATTCCTGTGATTTTTAAGGCCATGATTTTATTAAAGCAGTATAGTCCTGCATTCTGTAGTAGAAAATTAATTAGGAACTGAAGAAAAGTTGTATTGTTGTTAGTAAGGCAATTTATAAAGATCTAGGCAAATTTTCATTTCTTAAGTGTCATTAATTGGAGGTTTTTAACCTTGCACAAAGGGATTGGACAAAAGGTGTCAAACATTAAATCATTAATTTCTAGGACTTGCAAAAATCTCCAGAATGTCATGTGCTAGGTCCTTAAAAGATCGTTAGAAGATCCAGTTTTTAGAACTTCGTGGGACCCAAAAGAAGGGAATAAGAATGTGAGGCTGCCACTATGCATCTTTGGAAGTTAGGTAACTTAAAGCAATGAGTTGATTTGAGGTGGTAGCAGCTAATGCAAAATTGAGAATCTGGGGAAATTGGAAAAGTTGAGATTTTGACTGTTACCAATTGTGATTGTAAATTCAGATTTGATTTGGTAGAAGTTTTTCCTGAAACTAAATTATAATGTGGTCTCATATAAATTGAAATATGTTCTATTCGGATATATATGTGGTGAACCAGATTAATGTAAAATACTTGGAAGTTACATGAATCGGTAAAACTGGAGTGCACATGCGGTCTTGGATGCTCACTAGCAGTGTGACACCACTGTTTGCCTCAGTTTCCTTGTCTGTAAAATGGAATAATAATAATAGCACCGACCTCCCAGGGTTGTTGTGAGGTTCAAATGAGATAATAAATGTAAAGTGCTTAGCATGGTGCCTGGCACATGGTAAGCGCTCTATATAAGTAATATTACTATCATTATCACCATCAATTGACCTCAGGAGGAAGTCCCCAAAGAGACTAAGGGACATAGAAGCACAAATTTAGAGTAGGAAGGGATCTCAGAGATCATCTAAGTCCAGCTCCCTCATTTTTCAGATGAAGAAACTGGGACTAGGAAGTGATTTACTTAAGGTCACACAGATTGTAAGGGTTATAGGTGGGATTTGAAACCAGGTCTTCTGATTCTAGTTAGTGTATTTTCACTACACAGATAATACTTTGTTAGAAATTGAGTTTTGCTCCCTTGAAAATAATTGGGTTTATTTTTTTAATCTGTATAATTCCTAGTAGAAGTATTTACTTATTTAACATGGGGAGGAAAGTACCTTCAGACTGTATATAACTTATACACTAATATCTGCTATTGGGGGTAGAGGTGAAGGAGAGAGAAAAAAAAAAACGTGTGAAGAACTTGGCAAGTTCCTTGGTGACTTCATGATGAAGGTGGGCTCGATGACAGCAAAAAATACGTTGGAAAATGTGGTCTTTCTTGATCCCAGAAATTCATGAGACCTGGATTACTTAGGTGCTTCAGTATATCCTGAATAATTTTTTCAAGAAAATTATAGTTGGCTGTGTCTGTATATGGGAAGCACTAAATCTTGTCATTTAAAAAATGAAATTGCCTATATCTTAACAGAAAGGGAATGACTGGTTACCGACGTGGTCGTTCAGATCCAACTGGCAGTGTTCTGTTGGATTGTCAATTGGCTAGAGAAGAGATAAAAGTTAGAATAGACTAGATGGAAGGAAGGAGGGAAGGAACATCATGTAGTTATAAAAATTCTGACTGTCCTTATATGCAAGCTGTTGATTCTGAAAAATGGGAGATGGATTAAATAAGGACAGTAACTATTCTTATCAATTATCTCTGTTTCTTAGAGAAGCTCAGTTTGTGTAAAGTAGTTGCCATAAAAAAGCCAGGAGAGCTTAAAAACTACCTAAGCTGGCCAAATAATTTGATATCTTTACCAGAGAAACATTAGTTTGAGGTACTAGCCGTAGTTACATAGTTACATAGCTACAAAGCAATTAGGAGGGTAGTACTACTCTGTGTGTGACATTGGACACGTTATTTAAGCCCTCTAAGTCTCATTTTTCTCATCTGTAAAATGCCCCAACTGTAGATCTGTAATCCTGTAGGATCAGTGAATCAATAGAATGATGGGAGATTTTAAACAATTTTACCTCACAGAAGAATGGAAAGTAGCAGAGGTGAAAATGAGCCTATGGATCTCTTGTTGAATATTCATGTGATTGCCTATGTTGGTTGTGGAGTTTTGAGATCTTTCTCAGACAGCATATAATTTTGGTGGCCACGTTGACCGTATCATTGTAATTGTGCACACATACAACAGTTAAAAAAAAAAAAGAGCTAGATTAATATTAGTATTAATCGTAAATCATAACTCTAGTTGCAAAATCCAACCTTAAAGGCTCTATGAGGCATAGGATTGGGGACATAGTCACTCGAGGTATTCACTCATATCTTTGTAGAGGTCAAAGAGAAGAGAGAGTCTTTACTCATGTTGAGGTCTTCCAGATACTTTTATTAGCAGATAACATTATGCTGATTAATCAAGCCACTGAATACTGTAGGGCTTTTCTCTTCAATGAGAAGAGATTGCCCATTAGTTCATGAAGAAATGGTATTCCTCAGATTATATATGAAGTTGGATAAGTATCCTTAATCTATCAGTATATTCACCTTGGACAGGAACTGAAGAAGGAAGTGAAGAGTAACTTGAGTCTAGACTTAACAGGTTGAGAATAGGTTGAATTGCATATGGGAAATTGGCTGGTGCTTCCCATGATTTTAAGCTGCTGCTTGGCACAAAAGCTTATGGTTTTGGCACCTATATTCTTCTAGGGTTCCTATATAGCTGGAAATCATGAAACACTATTCTCTCCAAGGAATCAAAATTGCAAATGACCAAAGAGCAGTGGAGAAGTGCATGGTAGGTATAAATAAGCTACATCCTGTCACTCACAGAGACTTGTACGCAAAAAAAGGATGTAGAAAACATCTGTGGCATATGACTGGAAAAACAGATGACTTAGTCTAGGGGCAAGATCAAGCAAATTGTTCTCAGTGGTTATACTGATACCTACAAAATATTAAAAGACTACCGTGGATTTAGGTGAGATCATGGATAAGAATTTCATAGGTTACAGAGGTAGGGATGGATTTATACTGATGGATGAAGGAGTAGTAGTATTTGTGTTGGAAAGATCCCAGATCAGTTAAAGTAAGTGAGCAAACACATCAAATTAGGAAATGTTATTTAGGTTTTTTTGTTAAATATGCCTCTAAGGCAATTAATTTTTTAAAAATTTGAACAAATTTTCCCTCTGGCATGTGTTAATAACTATATAACTATAAGTAAAGTATTTGTTTTAATAATTCCAAAGAGCCATTGATTTCACTGGTATGGGTACTTCTTCCAGCAAAAGAGATTATATACCTCATACTTGAGTAAAAGCACATGCTCCTTATGAATTCCTATAGTCATAAAGAAAAATTATCACCTGGTGGCTAGCTTTCTTGTGAACAGCATTTATGAATTTTGCTCGTGTTCTTCAGAGTATAGACTCTCAATCTGTCATCCATACTTGAAGCCTTTCCATTCATTAGTAAGTATCTCCTTTGAGATTGATGGTCACCTCTATACCATGGTGATGCATAAGAATATTTTTCTCTTATGTTTTATTTAGATGTTGTACAAGATCAGTCTTTATTTACTTCGTTTATACCTATGTATACCAGGAATACTACCTAAATATATGTGCTTTTAAAGAGTTTTGATACTATGTTATGTGGTTATTTTTACTTTTTTTAAATAAATTGAATTTTGTTTAGCTGTTTAATATTATAAACAATCTAACTTTTCACAGTGTTTTATTTAGGACTTGATAATAATCAAAAGCAAATTTTACCAAAAGGTCATGAGTAAGACTTAGGAAATATTTTTTGTTTTTCCTGACTTCATTACTGCATTCTTTCTATAGAAATGAACAGGTTGTGATGGGTATATAGTTTTAGTGTTAAGTATTACAAAAGTAGTTTTTAAGGTTACATTTACCATTTTAAGTGTGTATGTGTCTTGTGTGTGTGTATCTCGTGTGTGTGTGTGTCTGTGTGTATGTTGGTTAGGTATTTTTTTCTTCCCATTTTTAGTTTTGCAGAAAGCCACATATTTTCCATTTGTAGTTCTGTTATTACTAATCTCATTGGAACCTAGTTTTACTTGCCCTATTTTACAATTTTAATTTTGTAGTGGATGATGCTGGGAAGATAGAACATGATGTCTCTTCTGAAATCACCATGGATGCTGAATCTGAAATTGACCCATGTAAAGTAGATGGCACTTGCCCTGAAGTCATCAAAGTTTATATTTTTAAGGCTGATCCTGGAGAAGATGATTTAGGTGAGATAAAATGTTTACCACATATTATATATCTTAACCCAACTTCTTAAATCTTATCTCTTTTTAGATGTCTTTTATGAAATAGTGTTTCAGTGAAAGGGCAGTGCTTTGAACAAAACATTTCAATGTAATACTGTAACTAATTAGATATGAAATTTGAAAATAAATTCTTTGTTCTGTGATCATTTCCACTAGGTGGTACAGTGGATATTGTGGAGAGTGAACCTGAGAATGATCATGGAGTTGGACTACTTGATCAGAGTAGCAGTATTCGTGTTCCAAGGGAAAAGATGGTTTACATGACTGTAAATGACTCTCAGCAAGAAGATGAAGATTTAAGTAAGTAGGTGGCTTTTTTGTGGGAGAAAATTTTATATAATTTTTAGGACTTTATTTTAATTCAGTTGATGTTTGACAGTAATGGCAACACTAATTGTAGAAAAATTTATGTGACTTCAAAAGCTAGAAAATAAAGATGCTCTATGAAGCTTTTCTTTGTGTGCCTAAAATTTTATAGGGGGTAGCAGGTGTATAAAAAGACCAAGTGATGATTGTAATTTGACCTTTATTTATTTATTTTTCTTCATTGATGTAGTAACTATATTAAAATGAAAAAATGTCATTATCTCATATTTAGACTCAGAGACTGTTAGAGGAGGAAAGAGACATTAACTGTGGACTCACCCTCATACAATATTAATATTAGAAAAGAGATCTCAGTGATCATGTGGTCCAGTTCCTTGATTTTACAGATGAGAAAACGGGTTTAGAGAAGCAAAGTGGCTTCCCTTCAGACACAGAACAAGTTGTTAGCAGTAATTGAGAAGTAGAACCTGTGCTTTCAGATTTTCATTTTACTGTTTATTATTATCCTATATTTTACCTGCCTTTCTATGGATATCTAGAAATCAGCTTATGGAAAATGTTATTAATACTTATGTCTTTATTTTTTAGATGTTGCAGAAATCGCTGATGAAGTTTATATGGAAGTGATTGTTGGGGAGGAAGATGCAGCAGTGGCACATGAACAACAAATTGATGACACTGAAATAAAAACTTTCATGCCAATAGCTTGGGCAGCAGCCTATGGTAAGTCTCAGGAAAACTTTCAGGTCCTGGGAACAACAAAAAGCTGGTGCTTTTTCTATAAACATCTGTGCACATTCAAAGAATCCTCTTTGTGGTGTAAGTCCCAGAAAGCTAAAATATCAGTGCCTATAAAAGGTTGTTTAATTTCAGCAAGGATAGAGGAAGATTATAAAGTCTACTTTTTGTCTCTATTTTTAACAGGAATTTCCTTCATGTCTATATTACGTAGAAGGAAGTACTGCAAGAAGTACACAGACTTCCAAGCTGAAAATTTCCATCTTGATAATATCTGCCCCGTGGCTTTACAATTTTGGGAGACAACAAGGGACTCCATGGGGCAAAATGCTGTAATGTGTTTTTTCAAAATGACAACTAGGAGTTTCCTAGACTCCCCCCCCATCACCAAAAAAAATTTTTTTTCTATAACTCATTACTTAGGATGGGGAATTTCTGTCATTCATGAGGATCATGGCTGTTTTTGCAATGTTGTTATTAATAAACAATCCATAATACAAATAGTCTTCAAAGTGATAATACTGTATAATTTTGTTTTTAATGCGCATTGTTAGGTAATAATACTGATGGAATTGAAAACCGGAATGGCACTGCAAGTGCCCTCTTGCACATAGATGAGTCTGCTGGACTTGGCAGACTGGCAAAACAAAAACCAAAGAAGAGGAGAAGACCTGATTCCAGGCAGTACCAAACAGGTGAGGAGTTAATAACATCATTAGTGCAGTGTTCACTCTCTGGGGATTTAACAGTCATCCCTTGGGTAAAAGGAGGAGTATGATCTTGAGCTTACCACTGTATTGCAATACTTTTTAAGCTGTAGTACCAAAAAACATGAATTTGTATGTTAAATTTGAAAATGCAAGATAACTTCAAGATGTGGAGAGAAAAGAGGATTTTTAACTTGACTCCTTCTAATTCATATGAAAAATTTTCCCCTATCCCCACCATGATACCACTGTTTTAATGATATCTTTTGTTTTTACATCATGTTTATTTCTGAATATATCCCTCCCTAGTCACATATCTAGCAGACTGTCCCTTATAACAAAGGTTTCTTTTTTTTAAAGGGCAGGGGGAAACAGTATAGTAAAACTAATCATGTCTGACAGCCTATGAATATGCCACCCATAGTCCCACAGTTCTGTAAAGAGGGGTGGGAGGTGCATTTCCTCAACTCTTCTGGGCTAAGCTTATAACATAACCTGTTTAAAAGAGGAAACAAGAAGCCATGTTATGACAGTCTAGGTATGAAAGTGACATTCAGTGTAATTTCTTTGCAGGAATATTTTAAGGTCTCTTGGCTTTTTTTTTTTAGTCTTTATTTTAGCTATATGTTCAGTTCAGTTTAAATGACAGTTGTGGAAGAATTAAACAGAAATGTGGAAAAGTATTATGTTATTTTTTCCTTTATGATTTGATTTGATACTGTAGATCTCAACGTTGAGATGGCTTCGTTTGCTATTTTGAGCTGATGGCATTTACGTTTGGCAGATAGTAGGGCAATACTTGGTGAAGTAGTATGTAATACTACTCCATGGAAGAAAAGGCTATATGTCCATGGTTATGGATGTAACTTTTTCGACGAGGATGTCTCAGTGTTGGAGAATTGTAGAAAAAAATAGCTTAAATGTAATTTAAACTTGTCTAATAATCTGTAAAACATAAGTGCTCTTAACTCTTTGTTTTGATGTTCATAATCTTTTCTTTTTTCTTCCTCCTTAGCAATAATTATTGGCCCTGATGGTCATCCATTGACTGTCTATCCTTGCATGATTTGTGGAAAGAAGTTTAAATCTAGAGGATTCTTGAAGAGGCATATGAAAAACCATCCAGAGCACCTTACCAAGAAAAAATATCGATGCACAGACTGTGATTACACTACTAATAAAAAAATTAGTTTACACAACCACCTGGAGAGCCACAAGCTGACCAACAAAACCGAAAAGGCAATTGAATGCGATGAATGTGGGAAACATTTCTCTCATGCTGGAGCTTTGTTTACTCACAAAATGGTGCATAAGGAAAAAGGAGCCAACAAAATGCACAAGTGTAAATTTTGCGATTATGAGACAGCTGAACAAGGGTTATTGAACCGCCATCTTCTGGCTGTCCACAGCAAGAACTTTCCTCATATTTGTGTGGAATGTGGCAAAGGTTTCCGTCACCCGTCTGAGCTCAAGAAACACATGCGTATCCATACTGGTGAGAAGCCATACCAATGCCAGTACTGCGAATATAGGTCTGCTGACTCTTCTAACTTGAAAACTCATGTAAAGACTAAACATAGTAAAGAGATGCCATTCAAGTGTGAGATTTGTCTTCTGACTTTCTCAGATACCAAAGAGGTGCAGCAGCATGCCCTTATCCACCAAGAAAGCAAAACACATCAGTGTTTGCATTGTGATCACAAGAGCTCGAACTCAAGTGATTTGAAACGACACATAATTTCAGTTCACACAAAAGACTACCCCCACAAGTGTGACATGTGTGATAAAGGCTTCCATCGGCCTTCAGAACTCAAGAAACATGTGGCTGCCCACAAGGGTAAAAAAATGCACCAGTGTAGACATTGTGACTTTAAGATTGCAGATCCATTTGTGCTAAGTCGCCACATTCTCTCTGTTCACACAAAGGATCTTCCGTTTAGGTGTAAGAGATGTAGGAAGGGGTTCAGGCAGCAAAATGAGCTCAAAAAACATATGAAGACGCATAGCGGCAGGAAAGTTTACCAGTGTGAGTACTGTGAGTATAGCACTACAGATGCCTCAGGCTTTAAGCGGCATGTTATTTCCATTCATACAAAAGACTATCCCCATCGGTGTGAGTATTGCAAGAAAGGGTTTCGAAGACCCTCAGAAAAGAACCAGCACATCATGCGACATCATAAAGATGTTGGACTGCCATAAAAATTATTTCGCTGACTTCTGTGGAGTGGAATTGTAAAGAATATTGGCCTTGAGACAGTCAATTCATTTTAAAGCCAATCAGTTGTGATTACAAAAAAATACTGTGCATTGATTTATGCTGTATACAAATAGGATTATTGCTTCTAGTTGGATTTTTTTTTTTTGTTTTTTTGGTTTTTTGTTTTTTTTTTTTTTTTACATTTTGTTAAATAGCGTGTTCTGGATTCTATTCAGTTTGTTTAATAAATGAGGAAAAGATGGCAACAATAAAGTTGCATTTAATAAAGTAATCCCTGCCTCTATACTGAATCTTTCAGTCCTAGTAGTTTTTATATTTATTTAAATATTACCTTGCTTACCTTGCTTACCTTCTTGGTACTCACCTAATACCATTTAACTAAAGATAATTTAAGATTGGTAACTTGCAAAGTGTTCATGTTGACTCATTTGTGTCACAAATTTTAAAGGTAATTTGCATTTTCTCATGATGAAATTGTCATACATCTAATATATATATATACATATATAAATATATATGGGAGATTTTATTGTCAGATCTAGCTGTCATAATACGGAACTCATTTAACTGTCTTGTTTACTATCTTAAGATCATGTGACAACAGAACTTTACATTTAAGCTTTTAAGTCTAACATTACTGAATGAAAAAGCTGTGGTTTTTAAATTCATTTTTAGCAGAAAAATTGTTTGGGTCTTTTTTGGAGTATTTACATCTTTTGTCAGCACAACAAACTTTTAAAAAGACATACTGAAGATTTTTGCTTATTACTATTGTGTCTGCTATTCCATCTGTGCATTTTTGTCTTGGAATGGTTGTGTACTACAAATGAAACAGTACTGACAATGAATTTTGGAATTTGAGAGAGATCATTCCTATGGCTCATAGAGTAGTTTGCAACTTTGTATGTAAGTGTACCTCAAATTTTATGTATACATATATCTCTGTGTATTACTTATTTTACACATTTATACACGCGTCCTAAGACAATGGCTGAGTTAAAAATTTCAAACTAAAAAGGACTTAATTTACAATAATTTGTGAAAAATTCAGGGATGTACTTGATAGACCATTTTGTAAAACATACTATTTAGAGAAGAGACCTCAGGTAAAGAAGTAGAAAGAAAATAACGTATGTAGTATTTTTAAAAGAATAAAGGTATTTTCATTAAAATATCTTTAATAATTGAGAAATAGAAATGATACATTTCTAAATAGAATGTTTTTCATGATATTTCAGCTTCATATTATTCCAGAAAAGTGATTATTATCCATACACAACTAAATTCAGTTCTGTGATACAAGCAGCTTGAGAGAACAGTATATATCTCTCTCACCAAGCTAAGAGTATGAAGGATGTGAAGAAGGAGCTATAGATCTCTATAAATGAGTACTGATTATATATAGATGTAGCAAGTTTCAGTTATTATACCTTAAACAACTGCAGTGAGTGAAAATGTAAATGGTTCAACACCTTAGTCAGCACTGATTTAAAGATTACAGCATTCTTAAGTATGCAGAAAGAAGAGCTAAGGCTTTGTATCGATTAGCAAGTCTTTCATTGTTTTGTCTTTCTTTGCAGTTGAATTTTTTAAACCAGTCTAAATCAATCTAAATAAGCAAGGGTATAATAGATAGTAGATTCCAGACATTCTTAACCTAAATTTGCTTGAAGTTAATATGGATTTTGAGGTGGGGGAGGGAAATACATATAAGTACCCAGAAATGGCTACTGCCACTTAATTCAATTCCCTTCTGTTTCTGGCATTTTTTTGGAAGTTTCAAATGCCTCTTCCCATCACCTTGCCTGCCACACTCTCAAGTCTGATACCAGTGCTGCCTGTTACTGTCATGCTTCTCTGTCCTACCTTTGCTTTCTGATTTTCATCTTTCATCATCTTTCCTTTTAGCCCCAGTATTTGGATTCAGAATTGTATAGAATACTACATTTTTTTTTCAAAGTATTTGACAAATCCCCAGGGTATTAGATTTATTTAGTTTTAAGTTAAGTGCTTCAGGCTGCTATGAAGTTGGTGGTAATCAAAGCTAAGATGTGTTTTCTGGTACTTCAATGTCCTTCATACTACATTACCCCACATAATACATTTCATTGGTCACATATGGTTGTGCAGTCCATCGATATCTAGTATTGTCCTTGAAAACTAAATGTTAGTATTTTCATCACAGTCTTTTTTTTTTTAAGTCTCCCCTGTTAATCTTGATTTTCTTTTAAACAGTGTAAAAGAACTGAAAAAACATGCTGTAAAAATGAAATTAGTACAAAAGTAGCCATTTTAACTATATTTTTTTAAATAAACTGAAAGATAAAGAACACAACACTTTACACACTTTGTATTTCTCTTACATAGTCTGGAATCATACACAATTTTTTTTTAAAGCACAATATTGAAACCTTTAAAAGGTAATTAAGGGTTTGGTCAAGTGGATTTTGTAAAATGTATTCGTCTGTATAAAGAGAAAATGGAATTGTAGTTATTGTTATGTACTGACATTAGTTACAGGATAGTTTTAATTCTTAAAACAATTTGCGTAGCAAATGCTATGAAATGGATGTTTCAGTTAAATGTTTTAAAGAGGTACAGATTTTTACAAGGACATAATATAAGTTATTGTTCTGTAGAAATATCCTATTAAATATTGTATGTCCCTCCCTCTGTATACTTTGTAAAAAAGTAAAATACATAAAAAGAAAATCATATAGGGAAGTGTGACATTATTGTAATTGTGTACTTGAGAATAACGTGCAAAAATAAAAATCAGAATATTTTCCTGTTAATGAATGTTTAGTCTATTTGATACCAGTACTAAGTTAATGCTTTTTCTTAAGAAAAATGTACAGTTTTTGTAAACCTAATAAACAAAATACAGTGGATTATTTTCATTTCCCCATTTCTTAACTCATTTTGTGCAGTACTGGAATGCAAAATGTCATTGCTTTGAATTTTTGACACAAATGCATATATTGAGAATCCTTTAGTTCTGTGATTTTGCAAGTAATATTTTATAAAATTTTAGGTAACTGGTGACATCTTTAATGAGTATGTCCTTGAAATTCATTTGTGGGTTTTTTGTTTCTTTAGCAGCCATTGAGAGGAAAAGATAAAGAGAAAAAAAATATTGTATAGACTAGTGCCACAATGTCCATAAAGCTGTTTTTGAGAGGATTTAGAATTTTTTTTTGCCATAAATCCACAACACATTAAATCAGTGTTTAATTTCATGAGCCTTCATTATGTCCATGACAGAAAAACATTCCACATGTTTTTCACTCTTTCAGATAGAGGACTGACTGATCTTGTCAAGTTTGAAGTTAGCTAGCAGGAGTCCAAATAGCAGCACTGACAAGACAGGAATAAAGTGACAGAATAACTAATATTCGATGACTAGTTTAGTAAATAAGTGTAATCATTTCTCAATGTAAAGTAGTAATTAAACCTTGCTTATCTGATGCATTATCTGATTAGGGAGAAAATAATTCTTCAATGAAAAAAGCCTACTTAGTAATTAAGACTACCATCTGAAACAGTTAAATGGAACAAAATATAGTAATTGTTAACTTATTTGAAGTTGTGAATCAAATATAAAAACCATAGCAATCCAGGATTCAGCTAACTAATTTTAATAAGACAGGTAATAAATAGATCTAGCCATCTCTTGAGTCTGTACATTGACTTTCTCTCTTTATCCTTTGGGTATCATTAACAGCTGTTATTCCCCCCCCCCTTAATTTTGAAAGGAAAAGCTACAATAAAGCACTCGCAGAAAATTAGGATCATTAGTCTGACATTTCATTATATGGGACATAGAAGGGAAAGTATTACAAAACATCAGAATGAAGAAGTGGAGGTGAAACATACTTGCGAAGTTTGAACCTCATGCTTACCTTGTATGATTTGGATGATAAAAGTCCAATGAGATGTCCGTCAAAGGGTTAACATCTCTTCCATTTCATAAATTTTACATAGCCTCCGATGTTACATTCCTTAAAGGGTATAGACAAAGTTTTTGTGTTTTATTTTTTTACTACCATAGGGGTATTTAAAAGTTCTTAAAAAAAACAAAACAAACAATATATACAAGATGGAACATAAAGTAACATAAACCAACAGGGCAAACTTTACCTTGACCTTACCTAAACAACTGCAAGAGGTGGAAAGTATGTTTTGTTTTGTTTATAAAGTAATTTTTGAATTTGTTACATATTGTTCCTTGTTCTTTTGACAGCTTTGCTATTGTTTGTAAATAAATTCCTATTTTGTTTTAAGCTATTCTAGTAGAGTGTTGGCTATGGATAAAGGAATATTTGTGTGTGAGCAAACTAAGTGAGGTGATTTTGTTCTTAACTCCAAAACTGAGAGAGGTTAGAACATTGTTCCACTCCTAAACGTATAAACAAGCTATTTTGCCATTTTAATTATCTAGTAAGTATTGTTATATAGCACTAAGATATCTTTTGTATTTGCATATACAACGTAGAATTTTAATTTCCACAACATGCTCATGAAGTGTATGTAGGTATATAGCAAATGTTTTGATTTTTTAGTTTGAGGGCAAATCTCCAAAACTGTTGAATTATCTCAGTGACCTTTCCTATCCACTTAGCCTCCTATTTTTTTTTTTCCTATGTATCAGGTAGAACAGTTGAGATGAATGAGAGATGAACTTTGTCATGTACAGGCCTTTGCATTGTGATGACCTAAGAAACTGGTTGGAAAAGTTCTGTCGTGTAGAGAATCTGGACACTTAGCTTAAATATTCCAAATGGCATTTAGTTGTGTAGTTAATGCATTTACGATTCCAGTAATGAATGCTATCCAAGGAGGACCCATCTAATTTCAAAGAAGGCTCTTCACCAAGTTGGCTCACTCACTGGTGATGAATTTTTCAACCATAGTAACCCTATTAAGTTACAGAGGAGGTGTGATCTTTATAAGTGCAATGATTTCCCATGTTGGAATTGCTGATCCTTGGAGTTTTATGGACCTATATCCAATATTTGCAGAGTTTTTCATTTAGATATTCCTTGGTCTTATTCTTTTAGATACTTGCTAATTAAGATTACATTTCTCATATTGCTTTCCCTGAAAAGATACTAGCTTTCTTAATGTTTTTGTTCAAAGTGTAGAATCTAGTTTCCATATTTTCATTTACTTGTTCTGAAAAACTAATATCGAGTTTTCTATTCACCCCAAGATCTTTAAGGGCAAGTATATTAAAGGCATTCTCAAGAAAATCTGAAGCATAAAAAGGTTCTAGGATGATTAATTCCTATTGTAAGGGCACAATAAGTGGTATGATCACCAGCATTAAAGTCTTATTGGAGTTCTTCCCTTTTTTGTCCCACCTCAGATAAAGAGAGAGCATGATGTAATGGATAGAACTTGGGGTAAGGAATATTTGGGTCCAAGTTTTGCCTTTGAAATATTAGCACCAAATGCAAATCACCTGTAGACGGAGTGCTCCCTGGACTCTAAGACAAATTGCAGAGCCACGTTAGTGAAGAAGGTTTCCATACCAGGAGTTCCACACAAATGAAATCACAAGTTAAAACCAAAAATAAACATCCTAAGCACTTGAGAATATGGAGATAAAATAGCCTTTGGCCCAAGAAATTTTACATTGGGGAAGAAGGGGGCAAAGGGGAAGGGGCTATGAATACAGCATATTCCCAAATACGTACAATATGGGGGGAAAAAAGGGAGAGCACTAACAATTGGGGAGCTCAGAAGGTTTCAGTGCAGTAGGTGGCACCTGAGTTGATCCTTGAAGGAAGACAAGAATTGCAAGATGTGGAGATGAATGAAGTGAAAATACCTTCTAGGCACGTACAGCTGCAAAGAGAATGTTGAGTTCAAGGGACAGCTAGTACAGTTTTTCTGGAATATTGAGTTTGTAAAGGAGAATAACATGAAGTGAGACTGGTAAGGAGTTTGTATTTTAATCTTATAGGTATGGGGAACCACTGAACACTTTTGAAGGAAGATTGCCAGCAGTGAGACTAACCTTAGGAAGACTCTATTGTCAGTTGTGTGGATTTAGAAGGATATAACCTATAACACCTACAGCAGTGTGCTTGAATTTTTTGGGTTTTTTGACCTGTGATTTCATTGATACAGGGAACTATTGAATAAACCATCAGCAAAGATAGGCAATTGTTCTACAATTTAGAGTCTTAAGAGAGTTGGGAATGGGGAGTGAGAACTGAGATGTTAAGTCTCTTTTCCCAGGGTCATGGAGCCAGTGTATGTCACAGCTGGGGCTTGAACTCAAGTCTCACTGACTGCAGCTGGCTCAATTCACTCTGCCAGTTGGATTATATATGTTTGAATTTATGTTCTAAAAATAATCTTAAAGGGGCAATATTATTAAATGAAAGATTGAGACTTTCAAATGTTTCCTTATTAAAACAAGGAACATAAATATCAATATTTACATATGTATGATTTCTCATAGGTAGAATTCAGTGGAATTATTTCTGAGTCATGTCTTTTTATTAAACAATTTATTAATTTTTAGTTTTCAGCATTCACTTTCATGAGATTTTGAGTTTCAAATTTTCTCTCCTCCCCCGTCCCCAAGACTGGCATGCAAACTGATATAGGCTCTATTTACATGTTCATATTAAACATATTTTCACATTAGTCATGATGTAAAGAAGAATTAGAATCAATGGGAAGAACCACGAGAAACAAGAATCAAAACAAAACAACAAAAGAAAAGGAGAGCAAATAGTAAATCATGTCTTTTTTTTCCTAGTTGCTTTAAACATTTTTCCCCTTTAACTCAGATTTGGTGCACTTTTCCTTCATCTTTGTAATTGAAGCACTGTCTGGCTAAAAGAAATGAAGGCATTATTTTTACTTTACTAATTACCTGTTTGTCTCAAATGACTTTCAGCATATATACAACCAAATGGCACCAAGGCAGCAGTCGTAATGATCATGATGTTGATAATGATAATACCTTTACAATTCAAGAACATTAATCCACCGATGCATATTTCAATTGATCTAAGGAAGAGGGAAAGGAAAGAGAATACGTATGTAGTGTCTACAATGTGCCAAGTATTTTACTAAGAACTTTAAAAAATCTCATTTGATTCTCACAACCACCCTAGGAGGTAGGTACTATTATCATCCCCATTTTACAGATAAGGAAATAGAGGTTAAGTGACTTGTCGAGGTCAAACAAATCTGAGGCTAGATTTGAACTCAGGGCTTCTTAACTCAAGGCTCGCTGCACTATCAGCTGCCTCTAGTGTTTATTATTGCCTTCTAAAGTGACTGTGGCCAAAAAATTCTGCCTGAAACCAGGCTGATGAGCCTCTCCATACTTTGCTAGATCGGGCCTCAGGTAGCTGGCATAGTCCATCAGTGGCCCATACTAAAAGTCCTTTTCAGATTGGGAGGACTGGGCAGAATTCCTGTTGTACTAGCGTCATCCAAAAAAGCCCAGAATCATTGCAGTGAGTCTTATAATATAAGTGTACTATAGCACCTGAAGGTCTATGAAGTGTTTTTTGTACTTATTTGTGTTGAAGCAGGTGGTACAACTAGTATTTTTTCTTCTTGGAACACTAGCCTGTGTCAGAAGGCAACAAATGAGTCATTCCATTTTATTCTACCCCAGTCATCTCATCTGTTACAGGGAGATAGCATACATTTGCCTGAGATCCCAGGACTGAATGCAAAAGAAAACATCTGCAAAGCAAGGTATACTTTTTCAGTGGTTAAAATAAATAAGTATTTAAAAAAAAAAAAGACAACATGAGTGCCAATAGAATTCACTTATTACATCATTTTATTTTTAAAGTATCCTTATTTTTTTCCTTTTTCCCCTTTCCCATTTTGTGTATACTGTGCTGTAAGTCATACTGTTGTTAGCACAAGCTTTGAACCTGGAAAAATTTAGCACAAAGAAGCATGTTTGTTGTTCAGATTGAACTTGATTCCCCAGGCCATGCACCCTTTTCTTCCTGGGGGATTGGAGAACTGACTGGCCTCCATTCCTCTCAGAAGAGAGTCACCAGTATCTCCATAGTACACATGAGAAAACTGGCACTCATTCATATTACATTTCTTACTATAAGTGCACTACAATTCTGCATACTATTTTTTCTCATTTGACAAATGGAGAGACTGGGAGTGAGAGAAGTTAAATTACTTGCTCATGTTCTAAGCTAATAAGTGCCATGACTCAAATTCAGTTTTCTAATTTATTTCTACCACCAGTAGCAAGCTCTGTGATATGCTTCAGAAATTGCCTTTCATGACCAAGAAATCTAGTCTCTGTTCTGAGAATCACAGTCAAGAAATGCTTTACAACAGAGCACATTCTAATTGTATGCCATATGATGATAGTTGAATCCATGGGAGCCAATGAGATTGACAAGTGAAATAGTGTATATTTCAATAGGAGGAGAAGAAAAAAGGGTCCAGGGCAGAGTTTTGGGGGATACTCATGATTTGCAAACATGACCTAGATGAAGATCCAGGAAAGGAGAAAAAGTACGGTTAAGTACAGGTAATAGGAGAACTAGGAGAGAGCAGCTTCATGAAAACTTTAACCTAAGGCTTTGACTTTCTCAGCTCTCCTCTTTTCATTTTCTCTTTCCTCCTTCCATTTTCCTTCCTCCTTTTGTCTTCTTGTCTTTATTTTTCCCTTTTGATACCTTCCCTACTTTTCCACCTTCCTGTGTGTTCAGTTGTCATCTCTATGCAGTTGATTCTCAGATCTATTTGTCCAGCCCTGATCTGCAGTCTTGCATCTCTAGCTGCCTATTGGATATCTCAAACTGTATGTCCCATGGGCATCTTAAACACGTTCAAAACTGAATTCATTATCTTCTCCCCAAACCTGCCACTCTTAACTTCCCTATTACTGTATCACCATCCTCCTAGTTACTCAGGCTCACAACCTAGGTGACATCCTCAACTCCTCACTCTCTCACCCCCATATCCAGTTGGTTGTTAAGTCTTTTCATTTCTACCTTTATAACATCTCTTCTTTGTTTTCTTCTCTCTTGTATATGTCCTCTGTCCCTATTCTGTATCTTTTTTTCCCCTTTCCTC